ATAATGAATTAATTATCTGGAACTGAGATATATTATGTATTTAATAAGCTCGGTAATTTGCAATAAATGGAGCGTGACTTCCAATAAATGAAAGACATTATATGAGAGATATCCAGCAGGAATCGCTTTAAGGGGCTGACCAACCAAAGCTAATATTTTTGCGTTGAGTGGATGCCAAAAATTGACCAAAAATTTAAGGAATTGAAGGAAATATATGCCGTAAAAATGTTTTAAAGGCACTCTCCACCCCAAAAGCTGGTATTTTACATTTAAACTGTATATCTGGGTAAAATATATAAAAGAAAAAAAAAAGAAAATAAATGTCTCTGCAACACATGCACACTTTCCAGGCTTTGTCACGCTAAAGAACAACTCCAGGTAAACATTTTGTTACCTTTGCAATGGTGCTCTCCTTGGCACTGCAAGGGTTAAATGCTAATTTTTTTTGTCTAGGGCCAAAGGTAACAAAGTTATACTCACCAGATCCTCGAAGCTTTCCGGCTGCCACAGCGCTCCGTCCAGTCTGTCTCCCCCTCCGCAGCAGCAATGATACACTATATTGCCAAAAGTATTGGGACGCCCCTCCAAATCATTGGATTCAGGTGTTCCAATCCCCTCCATGGCCCCCGGCGTATAGGATGAGGCACCTCGTCATGCAGACACTTCTACAGACATTGGTGAAAGAACGGGTCGCTCTCAGGAGCTCAGTGACTACAAGCGTGGTTCCGTGATAGGTTGTCACCTGTGCAATAAGTCCGTCCGTGACATTTACTTGCTACTAAATATTCCGCGGTCACCTGTTACTTGTATTCTGGAAGGGAACTCTTAAGGCCTCAGCATACCAAGACATTTTGGACAATTTCATGCTCCCAACTTTGTGGGAACAGTTTGGGGATGGCCCCTTCCTGTTCCAACATGAACGTGCACCAGTGCAGAAAGCAAGGTCCATAAAGACATGGATGGGGGAGTTTGCGGTGGTGGAAGTTGACTGGCCGCACAGAGTCCTGACCTCAACCCCATAGAACACCTTTGGGATGAATTAGAGCGGAGACTGCGAGCCCGGCCTTCTCCTCCAACATCAGTACCTGACCTCACAAATGGTCCAACATTCCCATAGACACACTCCTAAACCTTGTGGACGCCTTCCCAGAAGAGTTGAAGCTGTTATAGAGGCAAAGGGCGGAGCCAACTCAATAATGAACCCTATGCACTAAGACTGGGATGCCATTAAAGTTCATGTCCGTGTAAAGGCGTCCCAATACTTTTGGCAATATATTGTATGTCCTTCGACATTCTAAATTCCTATACACTGTATAGAACATGATGACTCAAGGACCTTAGACCAGTGCAGCGCATGGGGAAGTGAGGCCCCAGGGGCTGGTCTATGAGCAAGCTGGCTTGGTCACTACAGACTAGTCCTTCACTTTGGTAGAGAACGCTCTGTTACTTCTGTTGAATATTGTGTCTAGATTTTTATAAATGTATCTTTGTACCTGGAGAAGTTTACCCATATTTCCTGTGTGTCACGGGCTGGGTACCGATGGCACGGTGGATGCTAGTTCCGGACCTCCAGATAAATTTGGGTCACTAGTTGCAGGAAACCATAGGGCCACTTGAGTAACTGGACACGGAAAGTGTGGGAACAGGATGGCTGCACGTATGGCTTGGGTGTGCTAGAGGCGCAGAATCAAAGGAGCGCCTGGTCTTCTCCAAAGCCTCTGATGGTGGGGATGTTGCGCTGCAGGACAGCTGGTCCTCCAACACACCAATGCAGGCAAAGCTAACAAAACCACAAAGGAATAAGAACTCAGAACAGCACTGGAAAACTGGAGTCAGCGACAGGTAGGGGAAAAGTAGGAAACCAGGTTCTGCAATTTGCACAGCAATGCAGAACAGACACAAAGAAACAGGAACCCTCCACGCAAATAAGCTTCAGGAAGCACAGGGGGTCCGGCCGCTAGTGTGGAGACACGTTGCTTGAACGCCGAGCACCAGGCGCAGTAGCTTTTTAACACAGAGGTTGAAATTAGATTGGGAGGAAGCCCAGCACCTTGGACAGGGGCGTAAAACCTAGCATCAGATCAGTGCACAGGAAAGTGTGACACTGTGTAGTCAATGGGGCAAGAAGTGAGAAGAAAAGAAGAAATCCTCACAGCCAGCAATGAACACCCACAATGTAGGCAGCACAGAGACGTAGCGGTTAGCGCTTTTGTTCCCCCGGTTCGAATCCTGGCCAGAGCACTATCTGCAAAACGGTTGTGTGTTCTCCTTGTGTTTGCATGGGATTGCCTCCAACACTCCAAAGACATGCTGGTAGGTTAATTGGCTCCTGTCTAAAATTGGCCCCTGTGTGTATGCATGTGAGATAGGGACATTAGATTGTAAGCTCCTTGAGGACAGGGACTAATGTGCACTATGTAAAGTGCTGTGTCAGCGCTATATTAATACCAATAATACATACCAATAATAAATACAATAGTTAGGTAGTTAGGTCAAATGACAGCACCAAAACGGGTAATAAAATGTTAATGAAAACCAGCATACAAATACAGCCAACTAGTTTTGGGGGGGGGGGGGCAAAACCC